GTTCATATCAAGGCACTCTGTCCAACGACACACGTGGGCGATGTATCGACGATGTATCTGCGATACATGGGGCGGTCTGCATCGACAATGTATCGACGATGCACATGGGCGATGCTTCGGCCATTCGAGGTCGATGCCTACCCCCCTTCCGTTGCCCCTCATGTATGGATCTCTCAAGCTTCCTGCCGTCTGAAGCGGTGTGCGTTCATGTCTGGGGTTTTGCTGTGCCCTTGCCAGCTAGAGCACTTGGCACGTGTTCGGAGCTAAACGGGGACTTGAAGAACAGTGCACCTTTCGTGCAGTCCAGGGGCCCAGAAGGGGCCGTCTGTCTGGGACCCCAAAGGGGCACCGAATGGTGCACGCCACCCGCTTATCGCCCTCCCCACTAAACAACGCCTAGATCTCGCCCTCGACTCGACGGGCCCCGCGCTACCCGAGATGCAGTGGCTCGAGGGCTTCGGGCAGAGTGGGGTGGGGCAGTCAAGGTTTCGAACATCTGCGTCGGTTCCCTGCGGTTTTCCAGTCTCAGAGGTGGTCCAAGCCGTTTCGCTTGAGACATCCTCGAAACTCTGACCTCGGAAGTGCCGCGCGAGAGGTGGTCTGGCCCGTTTCGCTTAAGACATCCTCGAAACTCTGAGCTCTGAGATGCCTTGCGCGAGGTGGTCCGGCCCGTTTCGCCTGAGACATCCTCGAAACTCTGACCTCGGAAGTGCCGCGCGAGAGGTGGTCCAGCCCGTTTCGCCTGAGACATCCTCGAATTTCTGAGCTCTGAGATGCCCTGCGCGAGGTGGTCCAGCCCGTCTCGCCTGAGAGACCCTCGCAACTCTGAGCTCTGAGATGCCGTCGCAAGGTGGTCCGGCTTGTTTCGCAGAAGACATTCTCGCAATTCTGAGCTCCCAGATGCCGCGCAAGAGGTGGTCCAGCCTGGGGGGCCAGAAGACCACATGTTACATATCCTCCCTGGGACCCTGGGAGCCCCAGGAGGCCCCAGAGAGCTCCAGGACGCCGCAGGACGCCCAGGACAGGCCCCAGGGGTCCGCAGGAGATTCCCAGGAGGCTACCAGGAGATTCCCAGGAGGCTCCCAGGATGCCCCAGGAGGCCCCCCTATCAGAACGTGTCAAGTTCTTACACATCCGGTGTCGATTCGTTGATTTTTCCTGCTCTTGTGGCCCTTCCATTTTCAAAAGCCCAATCGGCCACAGGTTAAATATCCCCCCTGGGAGCCCCAGGAGGCTTCAGGAAACCCCAGGTGGAGTTCAGTAGGCCACAGGAGGCCCAGGAGGAAGCCCCAGGAGGTCCCCAGGAGGCCCCAGGAGGCACCAGGAGGCCCCCGCAACTCGGAGCTCTGAGACGCCGCGCTCGAGGTGGTCCGGCCCGTTTCGCCTGAGACTTCTTCGCAGCACGTTTCGCCCGAGACACCGGCCCGTCTCGCCTGGGACATCCTTGCAACTCTGAGCTCTGAGATGCCGTGCGCAAGTTGGTCCGGCCCGTTTCGCACAAGACATTCGCAACTCTGAGCTCTCAGATGCTGCGCAAGAAAGAGGTGGTCCAGCCTGGGGGCCCAGAAGACCACATGTTACACATCCCCCCTGGGAGCCCCAGGAGGCCCCAGAGAGCTTCAGGAGGCCGCAGGACGCCCAGGACAGGCCCCAGGGGTCCGCAGGAGATTCCCAGGAGGCTACCAGGAGATTCCCAGGAGGCTACCAGGAGGCCCCAGGAGGCCCCCTATCAGAACGTGTCAAGTTAATACACAACCGGTGTCGATTCGTTGATTTTTCTTGCTCTTGTGGCTACCCCCCATTTTGGGGGGCCCCGACGGCCACATGTTGGATATCCCCCCCTGGGAGCACCAAGGGGCTTCAGGAAGCTCCAGGTGCCCAGGAGGAAGCCCCAGGAGGTCACCAGGAAGTCCCAGGAGGCCCCAGGAGGCCCCCGCAACTCGGAGCTCTGAGACGCCGCGCTCGACGTGGTCCGGCCCGTTTCGCCTGAGACTTCTTCGCAGCACGTTTCGCCCGAGACATCGTCGCAACTTTGGGGTCCGAAATGCCGCGCGCGAGGTGGTCCAGCCCGTCACGCTGGAGACATCCTCGCAACTCTGGGCTCCGAGATGCCTTGCGCGAGGTGGTCTGGCCCATCTCGCCTGAGACATCCTCGCAACTCTGAGCTCTGAGATGCCGTGCGCAAGGTGGTCCGGCCTGTTTCGCACAAGACATTCTCGCAATTCTGAGCTCTCAGATGCTGCGCAAGAGGTGGTCCAGCCTGGGGGCCCAGAAGACCACATGTTACACATCCCCCCTGGGAGCCCCAGGAGGCCCCAGAGAGCTTCAGGAGGCCGCAGGACGCCCAGGACAGGCCCCAGGGGTCCGCAGGAGATTCCCAGGAGACTCCCAGGATGCCCCAGGAGGCCCCCTATCAGAACGTGTCAAGTTCTTACACAACCGGTGTCGATTTGTTGATTTGTCCTGCTCTTGTGGCCCCAGGACAGGAGGTCACCAGGAGGTCCCAGGAGGCCCCAGGAGGCCCCAGGAGGCCCCCGCAACTCGGAGCTCTGAGACTCCGCGCTCGACGTGGTCCGCGCTCGACGTGGTCAGGCCCGTTTCGCCTGAGACTTCCTCGCAGCACGTTTCGCCCGAGACATCGTCGCAACTCTGGTCCGAAATGCCGCGCGCGAGGTGGTCCAGCCCGTTACGCTGGAGGCTTGAGGCATCCTCGCAACTCTGGGCTCCGAGATGCCCTGCGCGAGGTGGTCTGGCCCATCTTGCCTGACATCCTCGCAACTCTGAGCTCTGAGATGGCGTGCGCAAAGTGGTCCGGCCCGTTTCGCACAAGACATCCGCGCAATTCTGAGCTCTCAGATGCTGCGCAAGAAAGAGGTGGTCCAGCCTGGGGGCCCAGAAGACCACACATCCCCCCTGGGAGCCCCAGGAGGCCCCAGAGAGCTTCAGGAGGCCGCAGGACGCCCAGGACAGGCCCCAGGGGTCCGCAGGAGATTCCCAGGAGGCTCCCAGGAGGCCCCAGGAGGCCCCCTGAGGCCCCAGGAGGCCCCCTATCAGAACGTGTCAAGTTAATACACAAGCGGTGCCGATTCGTTGATTTGTCCTGCTCTTGTGGCCCCCCCCATTTTGGGGGGCCCCGACGGCCACATGTTGGATATCCCCCCCTGGGAACACCAAGGGGCTTCAGGAAGCTCCAGGTGGGGTCCAGGAGGCCACAGGAGGCCCAGGAGGAAGCCCCAGGAGGTCACCAGGAAGTCCCAGGAGGCCCCAGGAGGCCCCCGCAACTCGGAGCTCTGAGACGCCGCGCTCGACGTGGTCCGGCCCGTTTCGCCTGAGACTTCCTCGCAGCACGTTTCGCCCGAGACATCGTCGCAACTCTGGGGTCCGAATTGCCGCGCGCGAGGTGGTCCAGCCCGTTACGCTGGAGACATCCTCGCAACTCTGGGCTCCGAGATGCCGTTTGGGATGAAGAGGAGGTGGAGGAGGAGGAGGAGGAGGAGGCATGTTTTAACATGCCATGCCAGCCCGCACTTGACGGGCACGCAATCGACCTTGGAAACCGCAGTGGTTCTAAAAACCCTATTTGGGGATACTGCACTCCGGCTATAGTATCTTCGGGCTGGTTTCGTCTTATTCTGGGGGCGCCTGGATCGTCCCTAACTGCCGCCGGAGGTCCCAGATGTGGCCCGGTGACTACGAGGCCTCGGGCTCGAGCCCCAGGCGCCTCCGCGGGGCGGAGGCAGTTTGAGGCCACCACTGGTTGGAGTGCCGTTCCCCGTTGGGGTGTGCCCCCGTCGGTCGGAGACGAGGAGACAGACTGCACGAGCACATGCTCTCGGAGGTCCGCGCGGAGGTTTCTGGCCTGCTCGGGCCACGCGGCTGCGCCGGATCGCCTGGCAGTCGCGATGTCCCCGTTCCAGCGCCGCGTCCAACCCGAACTCGGCTTATCGGCGGTGGCTGGATCGGCGCCAGGAGGAGGAGGAGGAGGGGAAGGGGGAAGGGGGGAGGAGGGAGGAGGAGGAGGAGGAGGGAGGAGGAGGAGGAGGAGGAGGAGGAGGAGGAGGAGGGGAGGATGAGAAGGAGGAGGTGGAGGAGGAGTAGGAGGAAGTGCTTCCAGCGAATCCGTCCAACCCGTTTCCCCCCCCTTTCTTGGGCGGTGGCTGGATCGGCGCCAGGATCCCCTCTTGGCGCGCGGAGCGCGCCGGGGGCGGCACCGCCAGCGGGGCTGGCACCTATGCAGGAAATTCGCGCGGACCTCCGATTGTGTATGCGTATGTGATTTGTTGTTCCTCTGGTCAACCTCTGCTTCAGCGTCCGCTTCTTCCTTTCCTTGTCGTTGTCCTCCTCGAGCTGGCACGCTTGTGGCGTGTCCGACCTCCCTTGCTCGTTTGAGTGTTTGTGTTACCTGTGCGACGTTTTGGCGCATGGCTGTGTGTATCCTGAGATCCGACGTTGCGAAGAAAACAAAACATCACAAAAATCACAACCGGAGCCCTAGACCCCATCTCAAAGCAGCATGTTTCGAGCCAGACCGATATGTGATGGTCCCAAGGCTCCTAACCTCAGGAGCGAACGAAGGATGTACACGTATCTGGGTCCACGCTGGTTTCGAGAGTGCACATTATTGCCCGAACGTTCGAATCACGAGGCTGGTCCCGCGGACTGGGGGGCCGTACTCTTGCACTTTGGTGGGGCGCGTATGTCCTCCGTGGGCCTCTTTTGAAACGGGCGAAGCGCCTGGTGAGAAGAGACTGCAACGCCCGGACCTGCGGGTGCTTAGCGTCGCTTCGTTTGACCGATGCCTATCCCCTTCTCCATCCCCGTTCAGATCCCCACCAGCCCACCACCCCAGTCCGGGTCCATCCCCCTCGAAACTCGAAGGAAACAGCCTAGATCCCCATCTAAGGGGGATAGCTCGGCCAGCGTGGCCCAGGCCACGCCGCTGGGGATGGGGATCGGTTCAACGATGCTCACAGCGTCCGCCTGGGCCCCCCCTGCGGCAGTCACCCCGCGGCTGGAGCCCGTCGACCAGCCGGCCCTGCGGCTGGAGCCAGTCGCGCCAGCGCCCGCGAGAGTGCTGCCGTGGTCGGCGGAGGTGCTCCCGCCGCCGCCGCCCCCGCTCTGCTCCCCCGTGGCGCGTCCAGCGCAGACTTACGGTTCAGTCGGGCCTGTCCCTCTACAAGAGAAGTATTCCAAAAATAGTCAACAAACATCGGGGGACGTGTTTTTGAATATGTTTGGATCTGTTCGCATGCTTTTCGACTGTGTGTTATTTTTCATCCAAAATCCGCCTATAGGGGGACACGCCCGGCCAAAACTTACAGCGAGATTCCGATGTGGATGGTTGCGATGGCGAGGAAGGGGCGGCAGGAGAGGAGGGGAGGACGGAGGGGACGAAAGTTCCCAGGTTTTTAGCACGGAGTCTCCGAAATCTCGGCTCACTTCCGGGGACTGGTTTTTCATCTTGAGTCGTTCTTTGACGGCCTTGGGGCCCGGCGAGAGCCTCGTAGAGGCCAGAAATAGCGAACAAATTCCGTCGTGAGTTTGCAGTGTTTTGGGTTCAAGACGTGTCGTGTTCACCGCCCGCCCATTCCAGTTCTCCCCGGAAGAGACGAGGACGGCGCCAAGACGGGATTGCAGAACTCCGAAAGTGATGAAAGACCTCCACAGGTGTGGTTTGTGCTTTATCTATAGTGTGTTCATCGCACATGACTTAGGTATTCCGCATGACCGATCGATGTTAAATTCGACGGTTGGTCGTCGGCCCTTCATCATGAGGCACGCATCAGTGATATGGATCAGTGTCATTGACGTTGGCTCTCTTGACCCTGTCTTTCGATTCACAGCAGGAGTCTTTGACATAGCCAGAACACAACCGAAGACACGCCAAAGACGGCGCCAAACCGAACCCGAAGTCGCCCTGAAGGGCTTAAGAAGGCCCCGAGAAGGGCCCAAAAAGTGCCCAAGAGGGGCCCGAGGCGGCCTGGGCGAGCTTCGGGACAGCCCAAACGATAGCACGTCCGTCTATGTCGCGTTCTGGCCCACTGTATGGGTTCGAGGCACATGATGACGGCGCAAGCACCCCCCGCTTCTGGCCGCGGCCCTTCCCCACCAGAGCAGGAGACTAGAGATAGCGAAGCTACCGTCGAGTACCAAAACAAGACGGCCCGAAGGCAGCGGAAGAGTCGAGAACTAGGAGCCAGAAAGGGCCTCCTCCTCTTCTTCCTCCTCCCTGTCCTCCTCCTCCTCCTCCTCCTCCTCCTCCTCCTCCTCCTCCTCCTCCTCCTCCTCCTCCTCGGGAGGACTCTTAGATTCCAGAGGCGCTCCCATGTCCTTGAGGATTCCTTTCCAAATCCTGTATGAAAAGCTCGCTTCCTGTGGAAACCACAGGTGCTCCATGACTCCTTCTAACATTCTATATGCAACAATGGTGTTCTGTTGCACACGGTGGCTGTGGTGCACACGGGCGCCGTGGTGCACACAGGCGCTACTATGGTGCACGCGGCCACTGCGGTGCACATTGGTGCTGTGTTGCGCACGGCTGCTGTGGTGTACGCAGGCGCTGTTGTGGTGCACACAAGTGCTGTGGTGCACGCGGGCACTGTGGTGCACACTGGCGCTGTGTTGGGTGGGAAGGGGGCCGGTGACGTTACGTTTCGCGCCCGCGGCACTTGGGAATGCTTAGGCATGACCAGGGACGGGTAGGAGCACCATGTAGGCGGCGATCTGCACCACAGCGCTTGTGTGAACCAAAGTGCTTGCGTGCACCACAACGCATGTGTACACCACAGCGCGTATGTACACCACAGCAGCCGCGTGCAACGCCGTGACGGCCGTCATCGCCACGGAGTCTAAAAAAGCAGGCTCCAGGCAGTGGGGGCTCATGCAGTGGAATGCAGGCTGGGTTGCCGTCATACCCCAAGAGGGAGAGGATGGAGGATGAACCAGAGGAGGACTAGGACGAGGAGTAGGAGGGGTAGGGGAAGGAGGAAAAAGAGGGGAGGGAGGAGGGAGGAAGAGGGAGGGATGCTTCTCGGAGTTCATTCGGATGTCTCCTGAGAGTTTCTTGCACGCCTGTTGGGGCGTCTTTCGGGTCTCGTGTCGGTCCCAGGGGCCTCGTGAAGCGTCTTGGGCGCCTCGGGGGAGCCTCTTCGCGCCCCTTGGGGATCACTAAGGGGCCTCGTGGGGGCATCTGGGGTGCCTCTTGGGGCCTCCTGGGCTTCTCTTGGGGCCATCTTGTGTCACTCTTGGGGGCCTGGGGGGCCATCTTGGAGGTGGTCGATCAACGAAGGAGGGGGACTGAATTAGGGTCCTCCCCCAAAGAGGCCAACGTTGTGCCAACACCTAAGTCTAATCAATAATTGTGGTTCTCGTCAAGGCAATTTTGGACGCTCCAACCAACCGCGACCCGCCCTCCTCCAGTTCCAGGGGGAGGGGGGAGGGGGAAGGGGAAGAACGGGGGTTGGAAGAGGAAACCTTCTGAACCACTCACGCCTTGCAGGGCTGGTGGCATTACGTTGTATGTTCGGGGGGCCTGGTCTGTCCCCAAGATTGGTGACTTTTCTTGTGCCCGACGCGGGCTCGATGCGGATTCGGCGCCGAGTCGACGTGGATTCGGCGTGGATTCATCGCCAGATCGACGAGCCCAACATGTCCGATGCGCTTCCGCGAGGGACGTTCGCGTCCATGCATTTTGCCCGAGGCAGGTCCATGGATACGTCTGGGGTTGTGCGTTTCCTCCTGCGTGCGTGGTCAGCCGGGGGTGCCGTCCCCCTCCCTCCGGTCCTCTGTGGTCGCTTCTCCTCTCGCGTGTCTTGTCTTGCCGCCGGACTTTTCATTTTTCTTGCGACCGCGACAACTCGAGCGACCGATCGGATTGCCTCTGCCGTGCTGCGACGCGAACATGTTTCCTCCTGCTCCTCCTTCTCCTCCTCATCCTCCTATTCCTCCTCCTCCTCCTCCTCCTCCTCATGCCCCCCACCCCGAGGCAGGTGGCCGGTATGGGCGGTAGTGCCTTGAGCCATGCGCGAAACATTATTTCCCAAGGTGTCGCAATTTGTTCTCGACGGGGGATCATCGCGCGGGGGTCCGCCACGAGAACATACACACACAAACACGCCAACGGACTTTGCATGTACCTCAGCGGGGTTGGGTCGGCATTTAAAGTCGCTGGCTCTCAGGGGTGATTTATGTACAGCCACCCTTTCCTGAGGCCCAGGAACAATCCATTGGAGGGTGTCCGTGTACGGTCGGACCGAGGTAGAAGTCGAGGTCGGTTCGGGGAGGGTACCCTGATGGTCTTCGTGCTTGTTGGATGCTCTTGTACGTCCTGGGGGAGGGTTACCCTGGGTGATCCTATGGCTTGGGACGTTGTGGCCGGCGAAGGGTCTCATCTTCTTGGGGGATGTTCTTCTGTCTGGGGTCTGGCCGTATATTTTTTGGGGGTCGGAGGAGGAGGAGGAGGAGGAGGAGGAGAAGGCCTAGGAGGAGAAGGCGGAGGAGGCGAAGGAGGAGGGGGGGGGAGCGGCGCGCGCCTGCCGCGCGAGATCTCCGGGGCCGGGCCCCCCGAGGGAAGCCAGCCCCCGGGGGCAGCAAGCGAGGAGCTCCTCGGACCCGGCGCTGCAGAGATCGGCGGCGAGCCCGGGGGGGAGGCGAGCGGGGGCCCCGAGATTGGGCGGGATGTGTGTTGGCCACGGTCGGCCCCCGGGGGGCTCTCGCGGGTTCCTGGGACCGTCAGCCAACGGCTCAGGATGGAGGTGCGGTCCCGGGGGACGGGGCGGGGCTTCCAGAGATCCCGTATTGAAAAGATCGGGGCAAGGAGTGTCTTGAGAGGGAGAGGGCCTTCTCAGAAGGTCAGGAAGGCCTCGGGCCTTCTGAGAAGTTATTGAAGCCTTCCCCGAACACACAGACAATGTCTCAGAAGGTGCGGGTGCTTCGGAGAAGTCCCGCCGTCTTTGAGAGGCCTGCCCCCGTTCACTTCCCTCCCGGCTCGCTGCCGACTGACGTCGCCAAACAAGTTGCAAGATTGCCATTGCATAAAACATAAAAGCACCACCGAAGCCCAGGGCCCCATCTTTCTGCATCATTGTTTGAACCGGATCGGTCTGTGAGGGTCGCGGGCTTGCGATTACAGAGGGTATGATCCATTCCGCCTGGGGGGGTGCGATCTATGTCGTTGGGGCTTGACGGGGCACCACGTTGCCCTTGTCGAGCCTCTTCCAGGCGCGGTAAGGTCATCGCCCGCCCCCCAGGGTGCGCGCGTGCACACCACCTTCTCTGCAACCCACACACTTCGGAGTCCCCGACTGGGGTCCGAAACTCGGCGAACACGCCCGCGGTGAAACTACTGCAACGCCAGGATCTCAGGGGATGCCGATGGAAAGCCTAATGTTTCATCCGAAACCGTTTCATCCAAACGAGTTCATCCTAGTGAGTTTGTCCAGACGAGTTCGTCCAGACAGCTTATTCCGGAATTCATCCGATGACGAGTTCATCCGAAGTCGTATTCATCCAGAGACGAGATCATCATCCGCCGACAAGTTCATCAAGGCGAGTTTATCCGGGCAAACTCATCTTGACGAGTTCGTCCACAATATCATTCGTTTGGATGAGCTCGTCGCGGAAGAATTCGTTCAGGATGAGCAGGGAGCCTTGAGACGGGGGTCAATGCAAGCGGGGGTCAGCCAGAGCGCCGGTTTTTGCAGGATCTTGCAAAGACAGGACTGCCTCGACCCGGGCTAGCAGGATCTTGCAGAACCTTGCAGGATCCTGCAACGCTCGACTGACCCAGGCATGCATTGACCCTGGTCGGTAGATCCCCGAATGAACCGCTCGTCCTGTGCTGATCAGGGACAGCCTAGCCGACTCTGTGACGCTTCTGTGACGCCCCCCTAGCCTCGCCCTCGGACGTCTGTGTGCGGTTGGAGGGAGGCTTGGAGTGCAAGGGCGACGTCACGGAAGGGCAATGGTTTGCCCACACCCGCCGGGGTGGAGCAACGCTCGTGGGCATGGCGCGTGGGCTCCCCGGCTACTTGCAGATCTGGTGCTCGCGCTGTCAATTCTCTGCTCTCCCAGGGCTTTGCAGCGTCGTCCGCACCGTGCTTCTGCATGTCCGAGCTCCGCAGCTGCCTGCACGCCCTCCTGTGCTCGGCTGCGCTCTTGCTCTTGGGGACACTGCGCAGGCCTGACGAAAGCTTGAGAGGTCCCTGCAGTTTTAATCCGATCTAACTGCTAGTGGGTGATTATGACTCCTACAGGTAAGGTCTACCTGTGTGCAAAATGCTGGGTCATCATGACATATATTCGGTGAGATATAGGAAAAAATGTCGTCCCTTCAACATGCGTGGGTCGGTTCGGCCGCGCCCGGGCTGACGACGGCCACGACGGCTGCGACGACGTCCTCACCGCGCTCGGCCCTGCGAGGCCCTTCGGGGGCCCCGCGGCCCTCGCGCACCCCCCTCAGTCGCGCCGTGGCCCCGCCCCGCGGCGCGGGCCGCCAGGGCTCGGAGGGCGCCAGCCATCGGCCACGCGCAGACGGGGGCAGTCTTAAATCGGGCGCGTCCCTCTGCAGGAGGAATGTCCCAAACTAGTTCAAAAGATAGCCCGGGGACGGTTTTTCTAGTATGTTGGACTCTTTTTCATTTTTCGTCCACCATCCGCCTGCAGGAGGACATGCCCGACCTAAGGGCAGGCAGGGGCAACGAGAGGGGGGGATGGGCACAGCGGCGGGGACGCATCTCGAGAAGGGGATACCGACTACTGGATCGATTCATCTCGAGCTTGTTTTTTTTGTCAGTGGAATCTGCGGGGGGAAAGCAAACAATGGTCCGTAGATCTACGGAGCGCGTCTTTGTTTTCTGCATCCGACTGAAAAACCAATTGTGGGGTAAACCAATATTGCAGTCAATCCACTACGCGCGCATCAAGCCCCGACTCGCCCATTGATCATCGATGGGTGTCTGACAGCCCACCCCGCCTAGGATCGTGCAGTTTCGGCATCGGGGTCCTATCGCCGATCAAAAGGCGATGTATCGCAGATTCAAGGTCAATGTTTTCCCCCTGTTCCAGTCCCCACTGTTGTTGCCTCTCAGGTAGGGGAGGGGAGAGGGCTTCTTAGAAGCACCGCTGCTTCTTTGAAGGCGCGGGTCTTGTCTATACATGTAGGGATGGCGCCTTCTAAGGAGAAGGAGCGTGCCGCGTTGGCGGCCCGCGTAAGCCACCGCGTAAGCCACCGCGTATGGTCGTTGTTAATCCCGCGTAAGACCCATTTCTTGCCGTCGCTCATTTGGGAGGTTGGTCTTGGCATTGCTCGGACGTGTACGCTCTTTCTCGGCGAGGACCATCGAGGAGCATCCTGGATAATCTAGCAAACAATAATCGCACGAACCCGAACAATGCACGGGTAATGTACGTCTGCGCGATGGCAAGTGGCAGGTAGGCGCCATCCGATGGGCTGGCCGCGGGATGGAGATCGAGTCGCAGGTCGCGAGGGGGCTGAAGATGGTGTCGCAGGGCGCGAGGCGGCGGCTGCTCTCCGAGGAGCGGGAGCGCATCCAGCGGCGGGCGACGTGTGACCCGGCCATGCCGGCGCCGCTGCGCTGGTTCATCGAGGCCGCCGCGAATCGACGACGCGCAAAAGTCAGCCACGCGCAGAGCGGGGTAGGGGGGGGGGAAGGCTTCCCAGAAGCACCCCTGCCTCTCAGAGGGCGCGGACACTGTCTACAGATGGAGGGCCAGGGCCTTCTGTGAAGCAGCCTCTTCCTAAGAAGCAGTCCCCCTCTCCCTACCCCCCTGGCTCGCACGCCACGATCGAGGGAAGATTTATGGCCACTCCGCGCGTACCTTGTGCCGCATCAGCTTGTTCGTCGGGGTGGTGTGCAAAAATCGTGTCCCCAGGTATGCCAATCCTATGCACAACAACCTCTCCACGCTTTTGTGCCCGATGAAGTTGTCTGGGGTGGTAAACGAAAAGCGTGTTCCTTGAAGAATTGGCGACGCGCAAGAGTGACCCTTCGTCGTCAGATAGTAAATCACGGAAGCTTCCGCTCGTCTTGTATTGAACATCGGCGAAAAGCGTCGAATAGTGACCAAAAGAGCCGAATAGTCCCCAACAGCGACCAGTAGCGCCGAACAGCGCCCAACTAGTGCCCACGAGCGCCCAATAGCGCCACGTAGCAGCATGTAAGGGAGATTAATTATGTAATTCTGTCCGCTTTGCGCGCGATCGGGTGCGCTATCAGGCGCCATCGGGACGGCCAAAAGCTTCCGTGAGTTATTGTCTGACCTTTTGCGTGAGTGACATTCGGTGCCCGCCGACAGGGATTTGCGCATTGACCTGCGGGCATGGATATGGCAGCCCCGCAGGCCCCTGAGGCCGCGCACCCAAAGTCGCTTTTGCCCAGGGTCACCCTTGCGTGTAGGCGATCGAAGCAAACGGGTCCTCGTAGCTGTTTCGCCGATCGGCGCGGGCCCCCCCCACACCCCATACCTTTTTCCCCAGAGACAAAATCTTGGCTGCTTTTGGCGACTGGTCAGGCCCCCCCACCCTGTCTGCTTGCGCCACTAGTGAGAGTGGATCGGCTAAGCACGGGCCCAGACCCAGACCCCCCCCCCTCCCCTTGACGCTTTCCTGATGGAAACAGGGGGCCCTGGATGTTTTCCACCGTAATCATCCGTGCCCTTGAGGACCTCTCCCAGGCCCGGGGACCGTCAGCAGAAACGATTCGGGATGGGAAGGCGAGCCTGGGGAGGCTTCGAGGTCCAGGACCCTCTTCTGTCAGGACCCGTGTCCGTGATACCAACCCATGACATCCGACGACGATGCGATTCCTTCAATCAGCGGCCCCAGAGGTCACTATCCTTTCGCGGAGGCAGTTTGCCGCCCTGGATGGATGTTTAATGGTCCCAGAGCCCGACATCGGCCCCCGAGGACCGAAATGAGGAAACACTCGCCGGTTGAAGAGATCCTACCGTCGGAGACTTGGGAACGAGGCCATCTTCCGGGTCATCAGCGAGGACATTGTCCGCTCCATCGAGCTCGACATCGACGGCGACCACGCCGCGGACGATGCCGCCAATGGCGGCCGGGGCGAGGAGTCGATGGCGTCAAAGCAGTGATTACCATGTGCGTGTGAGTGTGTGTGTGTTGTTGAATGCAGTTGGGTGGTGGTGTGTGTGTTGTTGGGTGTCGCTGTGTGTTGTTACTTATGGGTTTTATGTGCTTCTGTGTGTTAATGTGTGTGTGTGTGCTGTGTTGTGTGTGTGGCGTGTGTTGTGTGTTGTGTGTGTTGTGTGTGTGTTGTGTGTGTTGTGTGTGTTGTGTGTGCGTGCGTGCGTTTGTGTGTTCGCGTGTCTGTGTGTGTGTGTCTCTGTGTGTGTTGTTGAATTGATGTGTGTTGTCGTGTGCTGTTGTGTGTTGCTGTGCCTTTCCCCAATCAGGCTGTGGTGTTGGGTCTTCGTTTTGAAGAGACCGCCCCGCGTCTCCCTCCCTCCCTCCCTCCCTCCCTCTTCCTCCTCTGCCTCCTCCTCTTCCCACTCATCCCTCCTCCCCTGCGTGCCTTTGCTGCCCGCATGCCAACCAGTTCGGCACACCCTCCATGCTCTTCGTGGCCGGTTGGAGCTCCAACGAAGGCCCCAGTGGCGACGTTCGCACGCGTCCACCCCACCCATCACGGCGCGTCGTGGCCCTATAAAGAGCTCCTCCGAAGGCCCCGGTGGCGACGTTGGCATGCGTCCGCGCCACCCGGTACAGCGTTTCGTAGCCCCATGGGGAGCTCCACCGAAGGTCCCAGTCGCGACGTTCGCATGCGTCCGCCCCGCCCAGAACAGAGTTTCGTGGGCCCACAGCGATCTCCAACGCAGGCCCCACTGGCGACGTCGCCATTCGTCCGCCCCGCCCAGTGCAGCGTTTCGTGGGCCCAATGGGGAGCTCCACCGCAAGCTTCCGTGGCGACTTTCGCATGCATCCGCCCCACCCAGCAGAGCGCTTCGTGGCCCAATAGGGAGCTCCACCTCAGGCCCCAGTGGCGACTGTCGCATGCGTCCGCCCCACCCATCACGGCGCGTCGTAGCCCCACGGAGAGCTCCCCCGAAAGCCCCCGTGGCGACGTTCGCATGCGCCCGCCCAACCCAGCACAGCGTTTCGTGGCCCCACGGGGGGCTCCACTGAAGGCCCCAGTGACGACGTTCGCATGCTTCCGCCCCACCCAGCACAGCGTTTCGTGGCCTCATAAGGAGCTCCACCGAAGGCCCCAGTTGCGACGTTCGCATGCGTCCGCGCCACCCAGCACAGCATCTCGTGGCCCCATGGGAAGCTCCACCGAAGGTCCCAGTCGCGACGTTGTCATGCGTCCGCCATACCCAGTACAGCATGTCGTGGCCCCGAACGGCTCCACCGAAGGCCTCCGTGGTGACGTTCGCATGCATGCGCCCCACCCCGTTCAGCGTTGCCTGGCCCCGGAGGGAGTTCCCCCGAAGGCCCCAGTGGCGACGTTCGCATGCGCCCGCCCCCTTCAGTACAACGCTTCGTCGCCTTGTATGGAGTTACATCGAAGGCCCCACTGGCGACGTTTGCATGCGTCCGCCCCAAACAGTACAGCGTTTCGTGGCCCTATGAAGAGCTCCACCGACGGCCCCATTGGCGACGTTCGCAATGCGTGTTCCCCCGCCCATTTCCGGCATATCCCTCACACGCTTCGTGGCCTCATAGGGAGCTCCACCGAAGTCCCCAGTAGCGAAGTTCGCATGCGTCCGCCCAGCTTCGTTGGACACCCCCAAAGGAGGAGGCGGCCGCGGTCGCGCGCGGCACGCTGCAGGTGCTCGCGGTGGAGGCCCGCAGCTTGGCGCCCGCGCACGGCATCGGCACCAACCCGTACGTCGTCGGGCTCCTCGGCCAGGAGGTAGTTCGATCGGCAGCCAGATCGTCCTCCTATCTTCCTCGTCCTCCACCTCGTCGTCGTCGTCCTCCTCCTCGTTCCCCCATCCTCCTCCTCCTCGCCGTCCTCCTCCTCCTGGCTCCCTCCCTCCCTCGTCCCCTTCTTCTGCCCTCCGTTGGGCGGCAGGAGAGGGCGGGGGGGGCGGCGCGAGCGCGCGAGGTTATTCTCACTTCGCGCCACGCGCAGCCCACGGGCGGCGAACATATCCGCATCCGCGGCACCGCGGTGTGGCCTGCGGCGCGATCCCGCGGATGCGCGGTGGCCCGGATGTGTTCCGCGTGGGGCATCTTCCAAAACGCAGCTCCGCATCCGTGGGGTCGCGGCCCGGGGGCCTGGCCCGCGAGGCCGCGGGTACGGACATGGTTTTCGCCAAGGGGCAAGCGAACCCCCAGAGCCCCTCGAGGTTCTTCGAACGGCGGCTAAATCCGAGCACTACCCTCGCCGATCGACGGTTCAGGCAACTCGATGGGCGGCGGGGGTGGGGTTCGGAATGTGGCAAACACGCTGCCACATAAAGAACCCTACCCCCGCCGACCATCGATTCAGGAGAGTCAGTGTTTGGTGGGGGTAGGTTCCGGATGTCGCCACCGATCTTCGAATGCAATCGAAGCTCCAGAACCCCCTCGCGTCGTGAGACAAGCACGACCGATTTTTTTTTATATCTTTCGGTTTTGTACTTTCAGCCTTTGAGGGTCCTCGCCGGGCCCTGGGGCCGTCAAACAATTATCTGGGCGAAGGGCCCAGCCGTCTGCATGTGTGAGTACGGCAGCTGTGTGCCCCGCCTTCGGTGGAGCTCCCTGTGGGAACACGAAACGTGTGAGGGGTGTGCCAACACGGATGTGGTGGCGCAGTGCGAACCTTGCCATTGGGGCTTTCGGTGGAGCTCCTTTTGGGGCAATGGAGCCAGTGCAAGGTGTGCCGACATAGGTGCGGTGGCGCCTTGCGAACCCTGCCACCAAGACCTTCTGTGGAGCTCCCTGTGGGGCCACGAAGCGTGTGAGGGGTGTGCCGAAATGAGTGGCGCGGACGCATGTGGGCACCGCCACCAGGGGCTTTCGGGGGAGCTCCCCATGGGGCCACGAAACGTCTGAGGGTTATGCCGACATGGGTGGCGCGAACGCATGTGAGCACCGCCACTGGGGCCTTCGGTGGAGCTCCCTATTGGGCTACGGAGCTTGTGAGGGGTGTGCCCGCATGTATGGCGCGGACGCATGTGGGCACCTCCACCCGGGCTTTCGGTTGAGCTCCTTATGGCCACGAAACGTGTGAGGGTTCTGCCGACATGGGTGGCGAAGACGCATGTAGGCACCGCCACAGGGGCCTTCGGTGGAGCTCCCTATGGGGCCACGAAACGTGTGAGGGGCCTGGCGACATGTGTGGCGCGGACGCGTGTGCGCACCGCCACGGGCCTTCGCTGGAGTTCCCTATGGGGCCCCGAAGCTTGTGAGGGGTGTGCCGAATCGGCTGGCGCAGACGCGTGTGGGCACCGCCATTGGGGCCTTCGGCGGAGTTCCCTATGGATCCACGAGACGTGTGAGGGTTGTGCCGAAATGGGTGGTGCGGACGCATGTGGGCACCGCCACTGGGGCCTTCGCTGGAGCTCCCGAAACGTGTGGGTGCCGAAATGGGTGGCGCGGACGCATGTGGGCACCACCACTGGGGCTTTCGGGGGAGCTCCCCATGGGGCCACGAGACGTGCAAGGAGTGGGCCGAAATTGGTGGCGCGAACGTATGTGGGCACCGCCATTTGGGCCTTCGGGGGAGCTCCCCATGAGGCCACGAGACGTGTGAGGGTGTGCCGAAATTGGTAGCGCGGGCGCATGTGGGCATCGCCACTGGGGCCTTCGGTGGAGCTCCCTCTGGGGCAACGGAGCTTGTGAGGGAAGTACCCAAAGTGGCGATGATGGAGATGGCGATGGCGATGGCCCATGGCTATGATGATGCTGATGATGATGATGCTGATGCTGGTGCTGGTGCTGATGATGATGATGATGGTTATGATGATTGTGATAGTGATGTTGGTGGTGATGGCGATGGTGATGATGATACTGATGATACTGACGATGAGTATGATGATGATGCTGATGCTGTTGATTATGCTTATGACTATGATTATGTCTATGACTATGGCTGTGATGTAACAGATGATGATGCTGTTGATGGTGATGAGGATGAGAGTGAGGATGCTGGTGTTGATGGTGATGGTGAAGGTGGCGATGGTGATGATGGTGATAGTGATGATGATGATGGTGATGCCGATGCTGTTGATGATGCTGATGGTGGTGATGATGATGTTGCTGATGTTGCTGGTGGTTGTGACGCTGCTGATGATGATGGTGGTGGTGTATGGCGATGGTGATGTTGATGGTAAAGGTGATGGTAAAGGTGATGTCGATGCTGATGATGCTGATGATGATGATGATACTGATGTTGATGATGAGGTTGATGAATAGGATGGTGATTGTGTTGATGATGTTGATGATGATGGTGATGCTGATGATGATGATGATGATGTTGATGATGACGCTGTTGATGGCGACAAAGAAGGACTGATGCTGGTGGTGGTGGTTGTGGTGGTGAATATGATGGTGGTGGTGATGATGATCATGATGACGCCGATCATTGTGATGGTTATTAGGTGGACGGCGGTGGCGATGACGGTCTTGATGCGATATTGGGATGATCGGATTATGTTGATGGTGTGGATGTGGATGTTGATGTTGTTGCTGATGATGCTGCTGACGATGAGGATGCTGATGATGATTATGATGATGGTACTGATGATGATTATGATGATGATGCTGCTGATGATGATGACGATGATTATGATGGGAGGAGGAAGGAGGGGGAGGAGGAGGCGAGACGTGGAGAGGAGATAACGCGGGGTCGTGTCTCTTCAAAACGAGAACCCAATATCACAGGACGGTTGGGAACACGTCAGTATGAATGAACAGCTGGTCTCAGGGAACGGCGCGACACCTTGGTCTAGGCTTCCTAGATTGGGGCGAACTGGATGGGGTCGGAGGATCGCGCCGCATCGCCGATGCATCGGCGATGTGGCTCGATGTGGAGCCCGACTTTCTCCACGGCGATGGCGGCGATGTCTTGCCGTCGTTGCCGATGCATCGCCGATGCGGCGCGATCCTCCAACCCCATCTAGTCGGACCCATTTAGGAGGGCTCTCCTTTGGGGGCCGACGTTCTGACAACATCATGACGTCGGGGGTCTGGGGCCTTTCCTCGGCTGGGCCCTTTTGGACCTCCTGTGGGTCCTCGTCGCCACGGCTGGATCAGCCTTGAGACGACGACGACGGACAACGACGACGACTTGGCCGCCATCTCGGCAGCTCCCTGGCCTGGAGGCTTTCGTCGCCGCGAGGTATCGGCACAGTTGTGGTTTCCTCAATTCTCCGACCGCGGTCAAACCCTCCCCTTGCTGGTCCAGTCGACGCTGGGGTGTAGAACACTCCCGCTGGGGTTCACCTGGCTGCAGATCCCCCCGCCGGTGCGCCAGAAGCGTGACATCTGCAGGGGCACTCTGGATTGGACCTGAGTCGGGGTGGACTTGAGTAGCCTTGCGACGGACCCCCCCGTCCCCACACCCTAGCTCCCCAAGGCTCAACCCATCCCCCCTAAACCTCTTCCAAAAGCCCCTGCTCATCCTCCTGTCGATCCGACGGGGGGGGGGCCATTCTTCTCCAGGAAGGGGGGGGGATTCTTATCCCACTCGGAGTACAGTCAAGACGCTGAAATAAGAACCACTTCGGGCTCAGAAGGGGCTCTGGTTCTTGCGTTGTTCCTTAGATCGAGGTCCAGGAACCCATTCGTGGCCGAGGTCAGCCGTGGCCAGAAACCCCATGCGTTCTTCAGCTTGCGTTCCTTCTGTCAGCACGATGACTGTAGGGTGCGCAGTCGGCTCCCCAGGTGCGCAGGAGCTGGACGGCCTGGAGCAACCTCAACCCCGACTGGAACTTCCTCATGGAGTTTCCCGTCGTGTCGCTGAGCGGCTCGCTCGAGCTGGAGGTGCTCAGCCGCTCGCCGCTCTTCGGGAGCGACACGCGCCTGGGCTACGTCTCGCTGCCCGTCAGGGACATTACCTCCGGCGGACAGAAGGGCGCCTGCTTGGCCTACCGCCGCGAGCAGCTCCAGGGCGCCACGCAGGGCGAGATCGTGCTGATCCTGGACTACAAGCCCCGAAGAAGGAACGACGGCATAGGCATAATTGGATGTTCGACGGTCCGCGCGGATGTATTGGGTCGGCGCTAGGCCCCCTTGGCGGCGCCTCTGGCGCCGCCCCTGCCCGCGCGCCAGAGAGGGGGTCCCGCGCAGATCCAAGAACTCCGCCCAGAGCTCCGGAAGTTTCTGTTTGTGCCGTCCTTTCTTCCTCCAGAGCCCCACGACCGCGACCCGGGCCAGGGGCCCACGGGGCTGGCCCGCCGGGCCTCTTGTCGCTTGTGGCGGGCCGCTGCCCGCTTCCGCGCCTTCTTCCTCTACCACTACTGGCCGTGCGACAAGACCGTGTTCCAGATGTACCTCAAGGATCGGGCGGCCGAATGCCCAGAAGGGGGCAGCAGCGCCGAGGGGCGGTCTGGTAGGCAGCACGAGCGGGCCGGCAAGGCTCCCTCTTCGTCCTCCTCACTCGTCCCCCCTTCCTCCCCCGTCCTTCGTCCCCTTCTAGTGCGCTCTCACTGCTCCCTCCTCATCCTCCTCGCTCATTCCTCATTCCTCCTCCCTCCCTCCCTCCGCCCTCCCTCCCTCATCTCTCCTCCCTCCCTCGCCCCGTCCTTCCCTTGTTCACTCCATCCATCCATAACCTCTTCTGCAGCTCCCTCCTTCCTTCTCCTCTTTGCCTGACCTCCTCGGGAAAATATCCAGCTGCCTCCGGCAAACCCCGCCACCGCGTCTGTGCAACAGCGCTGCAGTAAGGCGACTGAGTGCAGGAACTGCGCAATTTCGACGAGTGGTATGACGGGTCGTGAATTCGATCTCGTCTTCGTCCGCGCGGTAGGAAGGAGGTCGAGTTCACACCCCGCGGCAGTTCAGCGAATGGTCCGAATTGGGGAGGTCGTGATCCCGACATCGTCTTCGTCCGCGCGGTAGGGGGGAGGAGGAGGAAGAGGAGGAGGAGGAAGTGGAGGGAGGAGGAGGAGGAGGAGGAGGAGGAGGAGAGAAGGAAAATGGGAACGAGGAGGAGAAGCTTCTTGGGACCCTCGTGTGGCCTCCTGAGAGCTTCCTGGAGGGCCTCTTGGGGGCCTCTTGTGGACCTCCTGGGGCCTCTTGGGACCTCTTAGGGAGGCGATTGGCCCGTCTGACGCCTTCGGAGGCCGTCTTGGGGGCCTCTCTGGGCCGTCTTGGTGCCCGCTTGGAGCCGTCTTGGGGCCGTCTTGGAAGCTTCTTCGGCCATCTTGGCGTCCTCTTGGGCCGACTTGGGGCCCTCACAGGCTGTCATGGAGCTATCCTGGAGGCCTCCTGGGCCGTCTTGGGCGGTCGAAAGCCCAAGCAGACAAGAACCTCAACATCCTTCGGAAACCTAGAAGCAACTCCATGTGGTTTGCTTTCTCGGTCTCTCTTGGAGGACATCTTGGAGCCCTCTTGGGTTGTCTTGTGGGCCTCTCGGGCCGTCTTGGGTCCGTCTTCAGAGCCTCTTGAGTCGTCTTGCGCAAACCGGAGCCGTGTTGGTATCGTCTTGGCTGTTTGAGAAGCCGTCCTGGAGGCCATCTTGGCATTTTGGATGATGGAACGAGCGCCGGAACGCAATTTCAGAGTTGGCGATTTTCGACGCACGCGCATGCCAGGGGGGGGGATTGGGGGGCGGCCCTAGACTTAAGTCGGCCTGTCCTTCCACAGGGGGAATATTCAAAAGTAGTCACAAAATAGTTTGGGGACGATTTTTTTTACCATGTTTGAAGATGTTGGGCGTATTTCTTACAATTTTGTATTTGGCGTCCAAAATCCGCCTGTAGAGGGACGCCCGACCTAACCCTAAACAGCATCAAAAGACCTCCAAGACGGCAGCAAGCATTCTAACACGTATATTTCGTGCAGGCACGGTGGCGGATTACGCATACGGAGTGTTCACGTAATTAGGGCGGGCACCAAGTTCGCATGGGGAGGTTGCACCATAGTGCGGTATGAGATCGTGGGTACACGTTGTTCGAAGGCGAAGGTGAATGCTACATGCGCGAGTTCAAATGCTACTGAGTTGTCAACGGTGAAGAGTACGTGTGCGATCCAGTAACATCGTGAGCACAAGCAGGACATAGCACATATCATAATCAACCATGTCCCCGGCCAGTGCACATCGACGGAGGCCTCCAGAGGTCTCAAGAGGCCTCTTGAGTCCAGAGGCTTCCAGAGGAGGCCCTCAAGCCCAGAAGCATCAACGATCAAGCGTTTGTTGTTCTTCCTTCCAGGGGTACTACGGGTGCCCTCCTCAAGATGTCATTCCTGGAAGGTTACCTTCAACATCAGCGCTGGTCGATCCGCGTCCGGAACAACCAGCCAAATACGACAATTGCGCTTATTCCCGTTCACTTTGTTGCAATCTGGCTTAATCATGGTGGGCTGATCTGGCCCAATGGCCCATCAGTCGGACTCAATAGCCACTAACTCGTTCTCACGAAGACCATCGAGTACCTTTCAGCAGTTGCTCCAAACTCTCTAGGATAACGTTTTTGTTATACCCAGGCGATACCGGGCGTGACCAGGGCGGTGGGGGGCTGGGACGGGGCCGGTCACGTCACGATTCGTTCCGGCGCCGTCTGGGAGTGCTCGAGAATGGCCCATTCCCAGACGGCGCCGATGCGAATCGTGAAGTGACCAGGGAGGGGAGAGAGGGAGGGGGGGGGATCGCAGGGCTGGTCACGGGCGCAATCGCGAGTCACGAAACGGGCTCTTGCTTCCGAGTCCTCGAGGAGCCCATGGACATCCTGCTCCTGCTCGTGTCGCTGAGCCCGTTCGTGGCCGTGCGCGCCGCCTTCTACACCGTGCTGCTGCTGTGCCTGTGCGTTCCTTGGCCGGCTGACGAGCACCAGATGGTCCACTTCCTGCTGGCGTTCAAGGGCACGGCTGTGCTCTCGGACGGCTGCGGGAGGGTGCTCACAGGACAAAAAGGTACCCATACCTCTACCTTTCGCCCGCTTTCCCCTTTTTGGGCCTCCTGGGAGGCCCTCGTCGCTATTGTTGTATTCGTTTCGAAATTCTGGTCAGAACGTACCCCGGGAGAGGTCCGGGGAGTAGCGGTATCGATACCTTTTGGTTTCCCCAGGTGCTGTACGGCTTCCTGGCCTACTATCCAGTGGCCCGCGGCTCATCCCGCCTCTTCGCCTGGTTCGAGCCTGCTGCGGGGCTGAGGAGGCCCAGCATGGGTTCTGGCAGGCGGGAAGGAGGGGCGAGGTGCAACTTTCTGGGTCCGGGGGTGTTTCGGCTTTTTCCGGCCTGCGGGGCCGTTTCGGGCCCAGGGGCTCTGGGAAGCAGGTCCCGGGCAAAAATTGCACCAGGTGGACCCCAGGAGGGACTTGGGACCGATTTTGAGCGGAGTTGGTTTCGGGTTTCATGTCACCCTCCTGACCGATGTTCTCGAGGCCCATCCAGCTCAGAACCCCGGGGCCTCCTCCAGCTTCGGCCCATCCAACCTCCGCGCCTGGGTTAAAGGTCAGAGGCCTTTCGGACGATCTCCTCTCGGGAGCCACATGGAGGCGCGTTTTGCTTTGAAAGAAGCCTTAAGACTGAGGGCGGAGAACAAATGGCACCTCAGGACATTCGATGCTGATGCTGATGCTGATGCTGATGCTGATGCTGATGCTGATGTTGATGCTGATGAGGACGAGGATGATTATGAGGATGAGGATGTTGCTGATGCTGATGCTGATGAGGATGAGGATGAGGATGAGGATGAGGATGAGGATGAGGATGAGGATGAGGATGAGGATGAGGATGAGGATGATGGTGATGATGATGATGGTGGTGGTGGTGGTGGTAATGATGCTGATGATGATGCTGATGATGATGATGGTCATGGTCATGGTGATGCTGTTGATGGTGACGGTGATGGTGATGGTGATGGTGTTGACGATGATGACGATGATGATGATGATGATGATGATGATGAAGATGAAGATGACTATGATGAGATGATGATGATGATGATGATGCTGATGATGATGATGATGATGATGATGATGATGATGATGATGATGATGATGATGATGATGATGATGATGATGATGGTGTTCTTCCAGCGCTGAAGCTCGTGCCTCGGGCCATGGTGGCGGACTCCTGCGTCCGCACCGGCACCTGCGCCTCCTGCGGCGCGCCTGGCAGCGGCGTGGGCGCCTTCTCCATCTCGGGGGCGTCCAGGGGGGGTCAGAGGAGGAGAAGCCAGGACCACCACGGAGGTGCGAAGTGAGTCGCGCTTCGCTGTCTGGCCGACTTCAGAGCGAGGCGCGAGTCCCTCATCTTGTTCCGGGGGGAGGGGGGCGGCGCGAAAGCGCGAAGATAATCGGAGACACCTGCCCTAGAAGAGGTACCGCTACCCTTCCCTCGGCTTCGCCAGTGGGGGCCTGGGAGGCCCTCGTCGCCACCATTGGATTCGCCTCGAAATGCTGGTCAGAACGCATCCTGGGAGAGGTCCGGGAAGTAGCGGACTCGGGACCTTTTGGGTTCCTCAGTGTTGGGGGCTGGGGTGTGCTGTGTGGTCAGCAGTCGAGGAAGCGCAAATCATGGACTCGGGCGAGTGGAGTGGCGACATGCCTGGTTTCCATGCGGAGTCGGCAAGCTACGCCGCCAAATCAGGTGGTACTGGCCTCCTTTCTCGGGGGTGCCTTCATGGATCGGGCGCCCGTGCGCCAGATCCACGGATCCGCAGTCCATGTTCTGCCCGAGCAATGGCCGGGGCCATGAAACCTCCCAGACTTCATGGCCCCTCCTCTTCTTGCAGCACGTCCCCGGGCCTGTCCCTCGCCCGCGCACAATACTTCGGGCCACGATGCGCTAACCCCCCCTACAGTCAGCCCGCATAGCAAGGATGGGCAACCCTCCCAAAGGGTACCCTTGCATCCTTCCCCTTCGGCCCATCCTTGGCCGCTCTCGCTGGCCGCGCCCAGGTCGCAGAGTGTTGCGACATGGCCTTCCAACGGCCCTTGCATCCTTCTCGCGCGCGTCCTTTATGATACGGGTTGTGATTGCATTTCCTGACATCCGCCGGTGTGATTTGTTTTCGATTCACGGCCCCAGAGGTTCTGGTCTCTTCGCCCCGGGGTCAGTTTTTTGGTCGCCCCGGAGTCGGTGTTGGTGGTCCTGGGGGGGCCCGGTGTCAGGGCCCCGTGGGCCCAGATCGAGGGGGAACGGGGGGGGGGACTTGAAGGAGGGGGTGGAGAGAAGGGGCCCTAAAGGGCCCCTCCAGGGCCCATCTCTTCAGCCCACATCTTTTTGGGAGCAACAAAAACACACACAAAACAAACAAAACACAAACAAACACACAAACACACAAAACCACAAACACACAAACATACAAACACACAAAACACACAACACACACCACACACCACACACAACACACACAACACACACACACACAACACGCACCACACACAACACACACAACACACACAAACACACACACACACACAACACACAACACACAACACACACGAGCACACGAACACAAGCGAACACACGAGCACACGAACACACGAACACACGAATACACGCACACACGAACACACGAACACACACACAAACACAAACACACACACACACACACGAACACACACACACACACAAGCACACAAACACCCAAACACATAAACGCACAAACACACAAAACCACAAACACACAAACACACAAACACAATCACACAAACACACACAAACACAAACACACTAACACACTAACACACACACACACACACACGCACACACAATCACACACAATCACACACTTGTTTTGCGTCGGCGGCTGGGCAGAGGGACTGCTCCGGCGATGTGAGAACAATCACGCGACCACACAACACACACATAGATCTTCACCCCCCACGAAGGTCACCCCCCAATGCCACCCGCCCGAGGAGATCGGGGGTCCTGGCCCCCCCCTTCTCGGCGCGCCCGATGCATCCTCTGCGACCTCTACCAGGAGGTGCTCATGTGGTTCGTCTGCTTCGTGCTGCTGCCCAGGTCGGTGCCGTATCGCATGCGCTCCGGGGTGCGGGGGGGCGCCGCCGACGCCGACACGGACGCGAGCCGCGGGGGGCGCATGCGTTCGCTCTTGCTGTACAACCTGGTCGTACGGGCCAGAGTTGTGTGCATGTCCACGTCGTCTTGGGCTTTTGGGGAGGGGATGCCGGGCATCTGAGACGCGTGGGTATGGATGGACGAAGATCGGGCCTTGATAGTCGAAGGCCAGATTTTATCCATATCCTCTGCGTCTCGAAGGGGGACCGACAATCCTAGGCGCGGTGGGTCTGTAGAGAAGTCTTGCCCGCAGGTTTGCTTCGCGAGCAGCTGTGGCATATTCCTGATGCTCTCGGCCCGCGACCTGGTGTTCCCCTCCGGCCCCGAGGATACAAAGGAGGAAATGTATGCCGATACCTCGGAAAAGGGCGAGTTGAGGCAATATTCGGGAGGGGGGCTTCGTCGCCACGGCTGGACGCAGCTCGGAAAACAGGTGCGTGTGGACCCCGGGAGGGTTCGGGGACCGACTTTGACTTGCCGTTGCCTCAACTCGCCCTGCTCCGATCCGAACACCGCTGCTCGTCCTGGAGAGCCCTCGTCGCCGCGGCTGGATGCGTATCGAAAGATCTGGGGAGAACCCATCCAAGGAGAGAAGAGCTCTTGAAAAACAGGCTCCAGGAGGTTCGCGCGAATTTCTTTGATCGGCGCGGTGCCCCCATGGTGGCGCCTCCAGCGCCGCCCCCTGGGGTGCTCCGCGCGCCAAGGAGGGGGGTCCATCGCCGATCTGAGAAATCCGCGCCTCCGAAAGTTTCTGTGCTTCTGTGGCGTGTCGTTCTTCTGGGCCCGCGACCTGCTGTGTCCCATCCGGCCCCGAGGACGCTTGGAGGTGCCGCGTTTCGGAGAACTTCTTCTGGGCGCGGACGGTCTTCGGCCTGTCGATGTTCCCCTTCCTGTTCCTGCTGCACCCCAAGATCGACAAGCTGTTGACCCACAGCTACGGGAACCAAAGATGGCAGCAGCATGAACTTCTGGAGGGCCGCGCGGACTTCTCGGATCGGCGCTGGGCCCCCTGCCCTGGCGCGCGGAGCGCGCCAGGGATGGCGCCAGAGGCGCCGCGGGGGTGGCCCCAGGCGCCGATCCGAGAGGTCCACCCAGATTTAGGGTTGGGCGTGTCCTCCTATAGGCGGATTTTGGAGGAAACAATTCAAACAATAGTCAACAACTATACCCCCAAATGGTCAAACATAGTCAAACAAGTTCGTGCCCAGACTCTTTTGGGATTATTTTTCGATATTCTTCCTGTAGAGGGACAATCGGGCCGGACGAAAGGGGGGGATACGGAAAGGGGGTCTTACGAAATTTGCTGCATGTAGCTGGATTCGGCCCCACCGAGGGGCCCATTCCTCGATGCATGGCCGCCTCCGGCGCTGGGAGGCGCCGGGAAAATCATCTACGTGAGCTGATTATCAAACCCCCCTTTGCTATCCCCCCCTTTCGCCCAGTCCGAGACAAGTCCGACTTACACCCAGACCTCTGACTCCCTATATACTCCAGATGGTCAAACATAGTTAAAGCATCGTCACAAAACTATGTTTGGATTATTTTTCGATATTCTTTTTGAAGAGGGGCAAGCCCGACTTAAACCCAGACCTCCGACAGTCCATGCTCACGCGCCCTGTTCTGTTCCCGGGCAGCACCCCGACGGGCTTCACGCGCCTCGGCACGCTGCAGCGCTACAGCCCGCGCCTGCGGCCCCGGCGGCGGCAGTGCCAGGAGGGCCCGCGGCAAGGCGCCGCGGAGGGCGGCCTGACGCAGGAGGCGGCGGAGGCAACGACAGGAGGCGGCGTAGGGGGGGATGCATCGACCCCGAATCGCCCATTGATCGTCGATAGGGGCCCGATAGCCCCGACCTGCCCAGGAGGGTGCGGGTTCACGATTGGAGGCCTTTCGCCGATCTGTCGGCGATGTATCGCCGATTCCAGGTCGATGCATCCCCCCCCTATGCCCATCCCCCCTATCGTTGCCCCTCAAGGAGGCGGCGGAGGCGGCGGAGGCAGCGAGCGAGAGGGCGGATGACCCGGTGGTTGGGCGGAATTCGCCGGGTGTGTTTCTGGGCCTCCCAGATGGGGTCCGAGCAGATGGGGCCGAAGGATCGCGCCGATGCGTCGGCGACGCCTCTCGGTGCAGGAGCCCGACTTCCTCCACGCCCACGTCGCCGACGCCTCGCCGACGTCACCAGAGCATCGCCAGTCCCCCCCTTCTATCTGCCCCGCAAGGGTAGACGCAGTGCGACCCCCCCACTGGCCACGTCGGGAGGGCGCACACGCCGCTCCGGGGCCAGAAGTCGGGCGCGCCCCTCCACAGGAGGAAGAGTCGACAACAGGCCACAAATCGTCGGGGGACGATGTTTCGATTATTTTTTAATATAGTAATATTGTTGAATCTGTTTGGGATACTTCTATTCTTTTTGAGTACAAGTCGGGCGCATCCCTCTACAGGAGAAGTATTCGAAAATAGGCCATGAAGCGTCAGGGGACGACGTTTCGACTGTTTTCGGCTTTTGTTTATTATTTTTGGAATCTGTTTTTTTGTTTGTTTTCCCTCCGGAATCTGCCTGTAGGAGGACATGCCCGACCGAATCCTGGGCCCAGGATGGACTCGCCCAGGATCGGTGAGGAGATCAGGAGACGTCGCCCGATCTGCGCAGACACGGATCCTGGCCAGGCCCAGCCAGGTGGTTGTTTTGTCCTTCATTGTTTTGCCGATCGGCGCGGGCCCCCAAAACCCTCCCCCCCTCCATGGAGTGGATCTTGGCGCCTGCTTCGAGCAGGTGGAGCCTTCCCCACAGGATGCACTGCTGCAAACAGCCGCACTGAGCAGAGGTCCGGAGCCAGACCCCCCCCCTCCCCCCCTCTTCGCTCAATGTCGAAATGCCGAATAGGAAAGCGCTCACCAGGCCAAGCTAGGGTCCAGGATGAGTCTGGCTGGGATGGGCGTAATTATGTGCATAGCCTCGCGCTCTCTGTGGTCTCGGCGGCTGCAACAGGAGGGGGGAGGTCGCCCAGGGAGAAGCACTGCCCTCCGTGGAAGTATCCCCAGGGGCTCCGACCACCCATGTCTTCGACGAGGCTCCCCCGCGAATGCGCGTGATGCCCTCCCCTTGGCTATCCACCCCTCTGGATCCGCCGATGGTCGAAGGACAATCTACATGGACATGGCTTCCGTTGGTCTGCGTGCGCCCCCTGGGTCGGCGCGAGACCCCCTCCCCTGGCCCACGAGGCGCGCCAGAAGCTGGCGCCACTGGAGCCGCCACCGATCAATGCAAACGGGGATCAGTCAGAGCGCCAGATTTTGCAGGAGCCTGCAGAACCAGGGTTGCACTGACCAGGTTTGGTTGCAGGATCCTGCAGGATTTTGCCGGATCTTGCAAGGACCGACTGACCCAGGTTTGGGTTGACGACTGACCCGGGTTTGGATTGACCCGGGTCAGAAGCACCCCGACGGGATCGCCCGGCGCCGACTTTAAAGTCCGCACGGCCCATGCGAACGTCTGTGCGCAGCCTCTGGTCCATGGCATCCGCCGAGGTACTTTTTATCAAAGAGCGGCCCCAAAGAGCTCCCGCGACCCCTTCCGCAGGGGCATGTTTGGAACCCCCGACAGATATTTGATCACCCCGGGGCTCAAAAACAGGCCCCCGACGGTCGAAATCGAGGAAACTCCGCCGGTTGAAAGAGCCATCTCGTCAGAGGTATGGGTTCGGCTGCCTCCGGAGTCGGGCATGTCTTTCTACAGGAGGAATACTCAGAATTAGTAAGACATAGATTTGGGACGATGTTCCAGTCTTTGCCGATTATTGTCCGGAGTACTTTCTGCCTGTTCTTCACGGTTCTTCGAACATCCGCCTGGATGAGGACACGCCCGACCTGGCCCCAGGTGGAGGAGCTGAAGAGCGCCATCCGCTGGTTCCCTGGGGGCTCGCTCGCGCTCCTCGCCGGCGGCGTCGGGCTCCGGGCCGCGGGGGCCGCGGCCAGCGTGGCGGGCGCCGTGGTGTCGGCGGAGGTGATGCCTCGGGGCTCAACGGCTTCTCTCTTGACTCGGGCCTGTCCCTCTACAGGGGGAATGCTCAAAAATGATCAACAGGTAGTTTGGGGACGATTCACTTGTTCAACATTATGCTTGACAATTTTGGGGTACCTTTTTGCTTGCTATTTCCGATTTTCCTTTGAAATCCGCCTGTAGGAGGACATGCCCGACCTAAGACTGTTCCAATCGACTGGCGGGGATCAAGCCAGGTAAATCGAGGGAAGTCAAGAAGCACGAATGTGGAGCCAGACAATCCGAGACCACGCCAGAGATCCCCAGCGACATCTGGAGCAGCTCGCAGACGCTGCAACGCGAGTCCAGGGAGACCGCAGAAGTCGTTGAGCGCTTGCCGAGGTGAGGATTGCCAACACGGCGGTGTCCGTGGGCCTGCGGGCCGTGGACGTGGGGGTCTGCGGTGCGCAGCGCGCCGCCAAGACGCCAGTGGGGGAGGCCGCGCTCGCCTGTTCCGAGCGCCTGGTGCGGAGGCTGCCCGGCGGGGGCCACGCCCTCGACACCACCAGGCAGGCACTCGTTGCGGTCGGGTTCCTGGCGGCCGACGCGGAGACGCAGGGCATCGCGGCTGCCGAGAAGCTCCTGCGCGAGGCCAGCGGGCAGGCCGAGAATCTGAAGCTGGAGGCCGCCTCCCGCCTGGCGGAGATGCTGACGCGGGCGAGGAGCCTGTCGGAGCTCGAGGCCACCGAGCTCATGGACCTCGTGGGGCCCGAGCTCGGTAAGGTGTCGATCGCGCTGCGGAAGCGTCGGGCTGGAGTCCGCGCGGCCTACCAGCGAGGGTGCGACAGGCCTAGGCCGCCCAAGTGGGGTCGAAGTAGACGGGGTCGGAGGATCGCGCCGCACCGCCGACGCATCTGCGAAGCGGCTCGATGTGGAGCCCGATGTTCTCCACGTCGGCGGCGGTGATGCACCGCCGACGTCGGCGATGCATCGCCCATGCATCGACGATGCGTCGGCGATGCGGCGCGTGCCTCCGACTCCATCGGATCCAATTTGGGAGGGCCTTGAGAGGGCCTTTGCGCTGGGCCAGTCGCTGCTGGCGCTGTCCTGGGACCTGGCCTCACGGCTGCCCGTGGTGGGTGGGACGCTGCTGCGCACCTTCGAGCGCGAGCTGGGGGAGCTGCAGGCGCAGCGGGCTGGGCGGATGCCCGGCCTCCAGCCGATGGCCCAGGCGGTCGGAGAGGGAAGAACCGGTACCTCTGTGCGATCGAAATGGGTACGGGAAGAATCTAGGCCTCCCAGATGGGGTGCGAGCAGACGTGGGGGGGGGGGCAGGACGAGGATGAATCTGTTCCAGAGCGTTCCGGAGCGGTTTCAGAGCGTTCCGGATTGCTCTGAGAAGGCCGCGGCGCCCGAGACATTTTTCCAGAGTCGCTGGATTTCAGAGATTCTCCATTTACCCTCACCAGAAGTTATCTTCGTTTAGACTTCGTCTAAAGATGGGGTTGGAGGATCACGCCGCATCGCCGATGCATCGCCGATGTGGCTCGATGTCCGACGGCACCGGTGCATCGCCGACGTCGCCAATGCATCGGCGATGAGGCGCGATCCTCCGACCCCATCTAGTCGGAGCCCGTCTTGGAGGCCTTGAAAGAATTGATCCGAAGACCAGCACGGGTTCCTTTCCATTTTTTAACAGGACTCACTGTCGATGTTGCGGCGGACGGTGTTCATTCGAGACAGAAGGCCGCCTGGCCAGCAGCGGCCGCTGTCGGTTTGGGACACAAATTGTTGTTGGGCATCGTGCCCATGTATGTCCGTACTCTTTTCGGTCGTCCCAAAGCACCAGTAGCGCTACCCAGTGGAATCGGGCGAGGCTACGACAGGGATAAGATCGTTTCAGAGCCTTCCGGGACGCTTTCAGAGTGTTCCCGAAGGCTCTGAGACTCTAAGAAGGCCTTGGCGCCCGATGCGTCCTCCAGAGCCGCTGGATCTCAGAGATCCCCGCTGTATCCCTGTCCGATGTTGTCCCTGTCTTGACTTCGTCGGCCAGTTGAGACAACGGTAGTTGGCCTTCGGAGGGCCCCTCGTAGCCACGTTTGGACGCATCTCGGAGCACTGGTGCGTTTGGACCCTAGGAGGGGTCCCAAGGGTGATTTTGAGTTTCCGTTGTCTCAGCTCGCCCAGCTCGGGGCTACCTCTCCCTCGTTCTTGCCCTCTGGTGCCCCCCTGGGAGGCCCTCGTCGCAACGACTGCATTCGCCTCGGAGTCCTGGTCAGAACGCGCCCTGGGAGAGGTCCGGGGAGGAGTGGTATCGGTGCTCTGGTGTCCCCCAGCGAGGAAGAGAGAAACAACCATCAGCACACACGTTCGGAGGTCCGCGCGGAGTTCTTGGATCGGTGCTGGACCCCCCTGGCGCCGCCTCGGGCGCCGCCCCTGTCGCGCTCCCCTGGCCAGCAAGGACGGGGTCCAGCGCCGAGTCAAAAAGTCCGCGCGGACCTCCGAAAATTTAAGCTATTACCTTTATGTCTTGTTCTGCAGGCGTACTTGCAGCTCGTCTGCTCCTGCGCCATGCAGGAAGTGGTCGGTAGCAAATCGCGGGAGCCTTGTACGTGTTGGAAGCCACGTCTCTGGAGTGCATTAGCGTGTGCTAGCGTCTGGCAATCGATGAGACATCGGCGATTTAGCGTCGATCTAGCGCCGATGAGCGACGGTTAGCGTCGAGTCGCGAGAGTGATTTTGGAAGGACTTCAGACACGTGATTTCAACCAGCTATTGTATACGAAGGGTTCAAGCCCGCAGTTCTCTATCGCGGTCCTTGCACGAATCCAAAACTCTGTCACACAACGGCCTCTGAATGCTTTCCAAAAACAGCCGCTCGACACGTCTAAGATTGCCTCGGAGACTCCCGCGAGCTGCCACCGAAGGCCGTGCTGGAGCTGCGGGCTGGGCTGGCCGCACCGTCGGGGATGCCGCACGAGGCCGGGCCGCGGGCCCCCGAGGCGGGCGCCTCGAAGCACGGCCAGGCGTGGCTGCTCCACGGCGGCGCCGGCGACGCCGCGGGCGCAGGCCGGGCTCCCTTCGAGTCCTCCAGAGGCGTCAGAGGAGGGAAAGGTACCGATACCTCTACTCTTCCCTGGTGTTCCCCTCTTCGGGCCTCCTGGGCAACCCTCGTCGCCACTGCTGGATTCGCCTCGAAATCCTGGTCAGAACGCACCCCGGCAGAGGTTCTGGGAGCAGCGGTATCGGTACCTTTTGATTTCCCCAGGCGCCGCCGTGCTACACGCCGGTCGTTGGAAGTAGGTATCTCTGTCAGGGGAAACGTAAGACTCGAGTAAGCAGGAACTCGGGTTTGCGAAGGCGTTGTTTGTCGAGCGCGTCCTGGATTTTGACGGCCCAGTTTTCGTAGGGATGTCTGCAGCGGGAGTTCGCGTCAAGTTTCAGATTGGGTCTCGTCATTTTTATGATGGCCCGGGAAGGCCAATCCGAGTCCCACGTACCCGAGTCTTACGTCTCCCTGATTCCGGACTCCCAGATCCCAATCTTTTTTAGCCGCCTTCTTACTTCAAGAGTCGGGCGGGCAGGAAGCCCAATCTGCTTCAACGCCGTCCCAAGTCACGTGTCTGCCCACTTCTTCCGACTGACGGGTAAGATCATTTGGGCACACCCGGAACGAGCACTCTGATCTTAGGCATGGCTCGGGAGCACCAGCTCATAAGATGCCAACGCGCACTGATCACGCATGCCCAACGTCCCCACACGCCCGCCCTACGCACGCAGACCTGATCTTGTCTCCCAGGGCTTTCAAGGGATCGAATGCCCCCCGAGGTGCAGGCCTCGGCTGCCACGACGACCTCGCGCCCGAGCGGAGCCTCCCGAGCCCTCGGCGCGGCTACGCCCGCTCGCTGTCGCGCAGCCTCGGAGGAGAAGAAGCTGCACAAACATGTGAACTTTCGAAGCTCCGCGCGGACTGCTCGGATCGGCGCCCAGGCCTCCGTGGCGGCGCCTCTGGCGCCGCCCCTGACGCGTTCTGCGCGCCAGAGCGGGATGTGCAGCGCCGATCCAAGAAGTCCGCGCAGACCTCCGAAAGTCGATGTGTGTGTGTGTGTGTGTGTGCCGTTCTTCTGCTTCTGCAGCCACAGCCCGGGCAGCGGCCTCGAGGGCTCCCCGTCGCTGCGTCGGCGCGGAGGCTGTCCGGCGGGTTCGCCCGAGAGGACGCGGTAGTGAGCGCGCCCGTTTGCCCGCGGCCTTGCGATGGCAGTGCCCGTGCAGGGCCGTTGCCCACAGGAGCGGCACAATGTGGAGCTGACCCGAGCTTCGCAGCGTAGAATTAAGTCTGGCCTGTCCCTCTACAGGAAGAATATTCGAAACTAGCCAAGGAATCTCAGAGGACGATTTGTGGAGTATGTTTTGGCTATTGTTGAGCATGTTTTGAATATCTAGCTGCTTTCGTCCGAAATCCGCCGGTAGGAGGACATGCCCTGCCCGACCTGAGCGTAGTACGGTAGTGGCAGCAGCAGCTGCAGCCGTAGTAGCTGCAGCAGCAGAGGCAGCAGCTGCAATCTGTGGTAACGGTACAGTCATCACCCTGGCCGCCTGGCATGGGCCAGGCGGCCTGGCTCTGCACCCCTTGCTGGACCTCCCGCACTTTTTTGTGGTCGCGGACCTGGCGCTCGCACAGATCGAAAGAGCCAGGTGGCCATGCCAAAAAGCCGACCGGCGCCAGGGCACGGGCGAGGGGGGAGGCGGCCGAGGCGACGGCTTCGGAGGGCGCACTCGGGGCAGGACGCGCTCGTCCCAGGTACCTTTCGCTCTGCGCGGCCCGCAGACCCTCTGCCGGCAGCGCTCTGGCACTGCCGCGGGCCCGCCCGGCCCCGCGCAGCCGGCGGCGCTTCTGGGGGCCAAGGCGCGTGCTCCTCCCCAGATCTTCGACGCCGTGAGATCCTCGCAGCGCGGGCACGCAGAGGTCTGTAGACCCCTTCCCTGGGACCGGCTTTGCAGCCCGAGCAGGTTGTTGACGAAGGGGAATTCCAAACCATTAAGCGCAAAGCTCCTCAAGGTTAGGATCTACTCTCGTTGTTGACGGTCCTGGGGCCCAGTGATCAGCCCGCCCGAAATCGGTACGGGAAACATGGGCACGGTGTTCAGCAGCACATGCTGTCCAAAACCGACAGCTTCCGCTGGTCTGCAGGCGACACTGTTTGTCTCAAGTGGACAGCGTACGCGGCGACGCCGACAGCGAGTCCAGTTCCAAATGGGCACGGAATATTGTCGGTCGTCGTCCCCACTGATGTCAGCTTGTGGTCAACAAACGATGGACCCCAACCCACAGGGCTGATGAATAACCCCATGCCTTCGATAGTTAAATCATCCCCCCCTTAATTTCCTGGTCTTGAGTATCTCCAGCCAAGACAGAGTTGGTCGGGGGAGAGGGGCGGCGAGGCCGAACTTGAATATATATATATATATATATATATATATATATATCGATGCGAAGTTGTTATCCTCTTTTGTTGAGATGAGACATAATGAGCATGTGGCAGGGCTTCGGGATTCTCACCACGTCAGCTTTCCCAAGGCACGGACGTGTGGCAGGGCTATGGGATTTTCACCATTTCAGCTTTCCCAAGTCACGGACCTGTGGCAGGTGCTGTCTGTGTGGTGAATCTGCGTGGTGCTGTCTATGTGGTCCCTCTGCGTGGTGATGTCTATACGCTGTCATTGTGCTACCCTGTTACCCGTACATCTGTGCATGCGACCCGCCGGGGCAAAACAAATAGTACCCCCCCGGAACCCTGAATTGTATTATCTCGGGGAGGCCCCGTGGGGCGCGGAACATGTTTTTCATCACGCACGCTTGGGGGTCGTCGCGGGCGCCGCCGAGGCGACCCGGTTCCCTTTTGCACGGCAGCCTCAAAACGATTGCCTTCCGTATAAGAGTTGTTCTAGGGATCGTGTACATCGGAGGCGAAGTTTCCCCCCCTCAGGCTGATTACCGACGTGCCACACTCGGCGTCGTCGTCGTCCTCTATCGACGTCGTCGTCTTCGTCCTCGTCGTCGTCGTCGTCGTCCCGTCGTCGGTCGTCCCGTCGTCGTCGTTGTCGTCGTCGTCGTCGTCGACGCCGGTCGGTCGGTCGGTCGGTCTGTCGACGTCGTCGTCGTCGTCGGTTGCAGAGGGCCTGCCCAGCACCCCCCCCACCCATGGATGGGGCATCCGCAGTGCATCGTCGTCGCCGTCGTCGTCGCGTTGTCGTCGGCGTCGGCGTCGGCGTCGTCGTCGTCGTCGTCGTCGTCGTCGTCGGGGTTCGTCGTCGTCCTCGTCGTCGTCGTCGTGGTCGCTGTCGTCGCCGCTGTCGTCGTCGATGTCGCGTTGTCGTCGTCGTTGTCGTTGTCGTCGTCGAGTACAGCGGGCCTGCGTAGCACCCCCCCATGTGGCATCCATCCGCAGTGCATCGTCGTCGTCGTGATCGTCAAGACGTCGTCATCGACTGCGGCGGGACTCGCAGCGCAGCACCCGCGCTCCGGGGCGTCCGCAGTGCGTCGTCATCCGTCGTCGTTGTCGTTTTCGTCGTCGTCTTCGTCGCCCTCGTCGTCTGCGTCTTCGACGACGACAGCGGACTTGCGCAGACCCCCGCTCCCCCTATGAAACATCACCAGTGCGTCGTCGTTCGCCGTCGCCGTCGCCGTCGCCGTCGCCGTCGTCGTCGTCGTCGTCGTCGTCGTCGTCGTAGGACATTGTTGTGGGGGGGGAAGGGGGAAGAAGGAGAAAGAATACCCCTTTCCGTCTACATTTGCCGCTCCCCCCCTTCTTCCCCTTTTTGTTTGTAGCCATGTCAGCTCCGCCCGCCAGCTGAGGCGCCTCTCCCCCCTGCCTCCTGTATCTCGCCTGTCTGTGGCAGCCATTTTGGCCCAAACGCCCCGCTATGGCGGAGGCGATGGACAGCCCCGCTGATGCGTCGCCGCTTGCGTCGCACCTGTCGTTCTCCTGCTGTTTGCCTGGTGTCGGCGCTAATCACAGGCGCCACCGCCGTGCGTTTCAACTTGGCGGGCGCCCCCCGCCCCCCGCGAGCCGAACGAACACACGAACAAGTTTAATCACGTGCCCCGTTTGTTTCCGTTTGTCGACAGTGGACATTATTGAATCGCTTCGCTCATTCCGCCGGCCCGTGATATGGCATCGCTGGTTTTTGTCTGTGTGTTCGTTGCCCATGTTGCGCTCTTGGGGGCGGGTGTCGTTCGGACGCGTTGCGTGGGGAGTTTTGATGGTGAAGCAGTTCCCTGGGGGTCGTCTCTCGATGGGGCGAAATAGAGTCGTCGTCAAGATGCTTCTTTGGGGGGCCTCTTGGGGTCTGTTGAGAGGCCGTTCGGGGGCGCCTGGGAGACATGTTTGAAGCCTTCTGGGGCTTCTTTTGGGCCTCCTGGGAGTCTCCTGGGGCCTCTTGGCGACATCTTGGGGCCTCTTGGAGGCCTCTTGGGGCCTCTTTGGGACCTCCTGGGCGCCTTCTGGGACGGAGGGCTCCATTTTTGAGTTCTCGGTATCCCTCCTGAGTCCCTCTTGGGCCCGTCTTGGGGCCTCTTGGTCCGTCTTGGGCGGCACTTGGGCCGTCTTGAGGGCTCTCTTGGGTCGTTTCGGCGCCGTCTTGGGAGCTTCGTGGGCCGTCTTGGAGCGGTCTTGGGGGCCTCTTGGGCCGTCTTGGAGCGTCCGGAAGCCGAAAAAGCCAGAACACAAAAAACATAGAAAAAACCAATGAAAATCAACGATTTTGGCCTCTTGGGGCTCTCTTCGGAGGCCTCTTGGAAGGCTCTTGGGGCGTCTTGGAGGCCTCTTGGGCTGTCTTGGGGGCCTTTTGGGCCGTCTTGGGGTCATCTTCGGCGTCTTCGAGCGCTCTTTGGGCGTCTCGGGGGCCTCTTGGGCAGTCTTGGGGGCCTCTTGGGGCACTCTGAGCGCGCTCTGGGGAGCCTGAGAGGCCGCACCCAGAAGGAAAACCATCTCTGAGTAGACTTGGTCGGGCGGCGGTCGGGCGGCGGTCGGGCGGCGACCGGGCGTTGGTCGGGGTACTTTTCGCCGGGGGACCCCCAGGGGCCGCCCCGCGCGCGCGAACTAGAAATACTGTTAATACTGTTAACCAGTTACCGGAGATCTTAGCACGCCCTGGCCCGTTGGGCCGGCGAATTTTCGCACACATACTTCGGTCGGTCGTGCCGGCGTGAGGGCCCCTAGAAGCCGAATAGAATGACATGTGCCCCGTCGCGTTTATGCCTGACATTTTGCGCCACAGCCGCCGACCTTTTACATTCGATTTCGTGTCGCGGGTTTCTCGCGGGATTCCTCGTTGGTCCCATGGGGATATTTGTTTGTTTTGAATTTTGATTGCGGCGTGCTCAGGCTCTGTTATTGAGGTCGTCGGTGGACTTCCTGGGGGCGTCGGGGGATATCCTGGGACTCCTCGTGCGAGTCGCGGACATTCCGAAAAAAGGGTTCTGGGGGGACCATGGGGGTGGCTTCGCGGCGTGCTTGCTGGCGTTTGGGGCCGTCGAGTGGAAGGGCGTTGCGTGGGGCTCCCCTGCGGGGCGCTCTTGGGGCAGTCTCACGGCGCATAGTGATAGGGAAGCCGAGGGGGAGAGACAAACATATAGAAAGAGAGAACGAGTGATATAGAAGGAACAGGGGTGCTTTCTTTTCCTCTTTCCCTCTCCTCCTCCTCCTCCTCCTGCTCCTCCTCCTCCTTCTGCTCCTCCTCTTTCCCCTCCTGCTCCTGCTCCTGCTCCTGCTCCTCCTCCACCATGGGCCTCGGGGGGGCCTGAGCAAGGTCGGTGTGCATGTGTAGGTCAGGCCGTCTGGGAAGAAGGCGGGGGGTTGTACTTCCAGTGCTGTTGCGGAAACGCAGCGGAATTCCAGCCGACCAGCCGCGGGCAAGGGGAGCCAAAGGAGGAGAGGAGGAAAACGAGCAGCAGCAGCAGCAGCAGCATAAAAGGACAGGAGCGGGAGGAGGAGGAGAAGAGAAAGAGGAGGGCGAAAACGAACCCAGGCGAGAGCAATCGCGGGCAAATCACAAAACCAGGCGAAAGCCAACATGGGCGAAAGCCAACCTGTGCGAAAGCCAACTTGGGCGAAAGCCAACCGCGGCGAAAGCCAACCCCGGCGAAAGCCAACCCGGGCGAAAGCCAACCTGGGCGAGTGCCAACCCGGGCGAAAGCCAACCCGGGCGAAAGCCAACCATGGCGAAAGCGATCCCAGGCGAAAGCCAACCGGGGCGAAAGCAAACTTGGGCGAAACGAACCGAGCGGAACGAACTGGGCGAAAGCCAACCAGGGCGATGAACATGTATTCCCCTCCGAGGTCTCAAAACAGTGCGTTGATGGACTGTGTGGTGATGTCTTGAGGGATTTCGAGGTCACCGCACGGTCTGTCACGGCACCGTTTCGGGACTCCAAAGTCAGGGCGAAAGGAGAGCGGCTCGCGAGGTGGCAGGGCGCTCAGGTGAGCAGCCTGCACCCCGCGGTTCAGGAGCGGAAGAATCTTTAGGCCTCCTAGATGATGTCCGAGCAGATGGGGTAGGAGGATCACGCCGCATCGGCGATGCATCGGCGATGCGGCTCGATGTGGAGCTCGATTTTCTCCACGCCAGCGTCGCCGATGCATCGCCGACGTCGCCGACGCATCGGCGATGCATTCGCGATGCGGCGCGATCCTTCGAACCCATCTACTCGGACCCCATCTAGGAGGCCTCTAAAGAAGCACGTACGCGTGCATGAATCCACTTTGGTTTCGAGAGTGCGGACTGCGCGAATGTTCGTATCACGCGGCCAGTCTCGCGGGTCGAGGGGCCGTGTTCATACGTCCTTTGTGGGCTCCCCATCGAGTTCGGCTGGCCGAGTTCAGCCTGGCCGAATTTCGCCTGGCTGAGTCTGTCCCCTGTTCAATTACAGTCAACCCGCAAGGTAAGAATGAGCAGCTTCCTGTGGTTACCCTTGCATCCTTCCCCCTCGGCCCATCTTTGACCGCGTCCGCTCTGCCTTGCCCGCAAAGCGTCGACTTGTCCCTCCAAGGCCCTTGCATCATTATCGTAAGTTTTTTACTATTCTGTGTTCACTGTAACGACCCCATTGAGCAACGCTCAAGACCCCTTCCCCCGGGCGAACTCTGCGTCCCGAGCCGCTCGTTGACGGCCCCTGTGGCCTGGCGAAGGCTTTGCCGTGACCTCCCTGAGATCCGACATTGCGGAAGAAGTGCAAGCGAGCAAAGTTTGGTCGAATCGAGCCGGTCCGCAAGCGGATGTGGGCATACAGGTGAGAATTCGTGCCGGCGACGGAAGAGTGACATGCAGAATGGGCTCAGAAGTCGAGCGCGTAGCCCTCGGCCTGCGCACGCCATTTCCTCTGGTCTTGAACAGCGACGTGCCAATGCGCCGTCGCGAAATAACACGACGATCGAAATGGGTACGGAAATGATGGGCACAAAGACCTGCAGCGTTGCTCGCTCATTTTGAACATGGCTCGCTGCTAGTGACGCCGCGGACGCTGTATATTTGAGGCAGAAGGCCGCCTGGCCAGCAGCGGCCGCTGTCGGCTTTGGACAACATGCGTTCTTTAGGATCGTGCACTCTGTTCCCGTACCCAGTTCGGGGGTCCACGCCTTAGACTCAGAAAGTCCAGCGTTCGCGACTGGCTTCTTGTCAAAACCGCCGAAACCCTCCCGAAACCCTCCGAAAACCCTCCATGAAGGGTTCCGGAAGGCTTTTCGGAGGGTTCCTGAAGGGGTCTGGCAGGGTTTTCGTCGTTTCGGGGGGAAACCAGTCCTTTGCGAACTCTGGGCTTTCTGACCCCAGACCCCATCTTCTTGCAGCATGTTCCGGGCCGGCTCGATCCGTGGTGGTCCCGGGGGCCCGAAGCCGGGCGCAACGTTCCCACGACGAGAGGAGGAGAGGTCGGAGGGACGGGGGCCGCTGCTGCCGCCCCGCTGCCGCTGCTGCCGCCGCCCCTCTTCTGGGGCAACGTCATCGGCGTCACCCCAACATCATGACGAAGGATACGTGAGCGTCGCCTCCCCGGCGGCGTCGCGCGCGCGCCGAGAAATCTTCTAGCATAAGCTCAAGGGCGGGTGCTTTCTGACCATGCCGCTCGGGAAACGAAATGCCACAATGTGTGCTTATACTATACGGTCGTGTCGGAAGGAGGACACATAGTACTACCCCTCGGTCGTTGAACGTCGGTATTCTTGGATCCCTGGAATCCAATCTCGTTTTGGCGCCTTTCTACTTCGGGTGTCGACTGGTTCCCCCCCTTCCCTTCTCTACGGGGGGCGGGCGGAGATCCAATCTAGTTCCGACGCCTTCCTACTTCATGCTTCTATCCACTTTTGCCGACCCATGTGTAGCATGTCCTCCTGCGTCCCACATTAAGGGGGGATATACGGCATGACACGGCGGCGACCCTATCGCGGGCGTTCAAGGTCGAAAACTGACAGTGGCGCAGAGTCGGCCGATGTCGAACGATCTGCGTTGTCGGGAAGCAGCGATTTCAAGGCCGAGCGATACACACGGTGTCATAAAACAACGCTGAGGAGTTAGTCCTCCCAACCCAGATAATTAGTTGATGACGTCAGGATTGGTTCAGAACTTCGACCCCGGAGGTCTCGACCCTTTCCCCGGGATCGGTTTTCATCCTGAGTCAATTTTGATTGTCTTGGGGCCCGGCGAGGGCCCCAAGGCTGAACATGTGTGCAAAATTCGCCAGTCGTGTTTTTTTCACGACCCGAGGGGGTCTCAGAGCTTTGCCCCTCACAGGCCACGTTCCCCCCCCCCCCCCTGAGCCGGCCCCCCCGTATCGTTGCTCCTTACCTGGCGCGCCCCCGCAGCTGCCAGAGCCCTTCGCGTACGCGGGCGCCACCGGCGCCGGAGAGCCCGTGGAGTTGCCTGGGTTCGCGGAGCTGCGGGAGGGGCCGGGCGGGGGCTTCTTCTTCTTCTTCTTCCTCCTTTCCACCTCCTCCTCTTTCTCCTCATCCTCATCATCGTATTCCTCATCCTCATCTTCCTTCCTTCTTCATCTGCTTCTCGCCCTCCTCCTCCTCCTCCTCCTCCTCTTGGCTCTCCCGCCGAGCTGCGGGAGGGGCCGCGGTGGTGGGACAGAGACGCCTGTTCATGGCGCGCAGCGGTTGCCATGGATCAGACTCAAGCCCCCTCGAGACAAATAACTTTCGCGCTGGACGGTTTTGTTACCAAGCAAGTTGAACAAGAGCGTCAAGCGGAAAAGCGATGAGGAAAGGAGAAGGAGGCCCGCATGGGGCTCAGGATCTCCTCGGCCCTTAAAAAACGAACATGATTCCCCAAACAGTGTTTGCACTTGGGTTTTTTTTTTTAAGCTGGGCCTAATTGTCGGTCTGGCGGCTACGTTGTCGCCGCCGCGGCCCCGTTGCGGCCTCGTCGCTGCCCGTCGTATAATTAGGCTGGAATGTCGGTCTGGCGGCTACGTTGTCGCCGTTTCCGCCCCGTCGTTGCTTCGTCACCGCCCGTCGTCAAGGTCTGAGTGTCGGTCTGGCGGTTATGTTGTCGCCGTCGCCGCCCCGTCGGCGCCTAAGTTGCACTGCGCACCACATCGAGTGCACCACACATATTTTCCTCTCTAAAAGAAGGATAGGTTCCACCCTCCCCCCCCAGGGTTAAAGACCCCCAGGAACCGATGCAGAACACAGGATTCTCACCCTCTGTCCATCCCACCAGTTCAGATTATCCCAGCCAAATTCGTTTATCACAAATCATAACCGTTCAATAATCCCTTGCATAAAACGGGACGAAGTGTACACGCGCGCGTTGTCGCGCGCGAGTGCCGAAATCGAGTTTCCAAAAACATGCAAAAACACCGGGTTTCGCAACACTGATGTTCTAAAACAGCTCACGCGCGCGCTCTTGGGAAACCTTAAGAAAACCATAGGTTTTCAAGATTTTCAAAAGTACAACCAAATGGGATTCGCGCGCGCATGTTGAAATCGTTCGAACGCCTTTGCGCGCGTGACGTCGCGAGAATCCTCTGCAAAACATTGGACGAAGTGCACTCGCGCGCGTCGTCGCGCGCGCATGCCAAAATCCCGCAAAACCTTCGGTTTCGGAAGGATTTCAAAACCAAGTGTCCAAAACACATACAAAAACATATGGTTTTGCAACACGGGTTTTCAACAACAACGTGCGCACGCGTTCTTGTGTGGTCGTCGTCGTCGCAGTCCCTCCTCCGTCGTCGTCGTCGCCGTCGTCGTCCTTTGTCTTTCCTCGTCGTCGCCGTCGTCGTCGTCTTGGGCGTCGTCGTCGTTTCCGTCGTCGTTGTCGCCGTGGTCGTCTTTCCTCCTCCCTCGTCGTCGTCGTCCGTCGTTGGCGCCTCGTCGTCGTCCCTCCTGTTTCGTCGCCGTCGTCGTCGTCGTCGTCGTCGTCGTCGTCTTCCCTCCTCCCTTATCGTTGTCGTCGTCGGCGTCGCCGTCCTCCCTCCTTCGTCGTCGTGCGCGTCGTCGTCGTCCTCCCTCCTCCCTTGTCGTTGTCGTCGTTGTCGCCGTCGTCGTCCGCCCTCCTCCCTCGTCGTCGTCGTCGTCTTCGTTGGTGACGTCGTCGTCTTCGTCGTCGTCTTTGTCGGAGTCGTCGTCGTCGTCGGCGTCGTCGTCGCCCTCGTCGGCGTCGTCGTCGTCAGCGGCGTTGTCATCGTCGTCGTCGGCGTCGTCGTCGTCGCTGTCGTCGGTGTCGTCGTCATCGTCGTTGTCGTCGTCGTCGAAACCGTCGGAGACGCCGTTGGTGTCGTCGTAGTCGTCGTCGGCGGCGGCGTCGTCGTCGTCACTGTCGCTGCCGTCGTCGGCGTCGGTGTCGTTGCCAAGTGCCGTTTGGAACCTGCCGTCATGGTCGTAATAGGTCTTGCGACCAAGTTGCGGGTGGGGGGGTGGGATGTTTGCACGAGCAGTGGAGAGGACAGTTTCAAGTTGAGCACGTGATTGATTGCATGACATAATTAGAGTGCACCACATAGATTTCACATTAGATTTCACAATATAGATTGCACCATTGGATTGCACCGCATATATTGCACCACATACATGTTACATAAATGCACACATGTCACGTACAACATAGGCTGCACCACGTTGATTGTATTTCGGCATATTTTTCGCACCACGCAAATTGCACAACTTATATTCTCCTTTCTAAACAAGAGAACAGACTCTACCCCCCCATCCGGCGTTATCCGCCCCCCTTTCGGGTATGTAGATCATGTATGATTCTGGCCACATGTCCATCCTAAATATGAATTTACACTATCCCAGAAAGGGCTGGGATCGGCCCCCCTGAGGTTCCCTTGTAAAAAACGATGCGCGGGGACATCTTTTGTTCTAACATAGCACTGTTTCACGAATCCCTTGCAAAAAATGGGACGAAGTGCACACGCGCGCGTCGTCGCGCGCGCATGCCGAAATCCTTAAAAAACCTTCGGTGTCGGAAGGATTTCGCAATCGAGTTCCCAAAACACATACAAGAACACAGTGTTTTGCAACATTGGTGTGCTAAAAAAGCTTACGCGCGAGCTCTCTTGCGAAATCTTAAGAAAACCATAGGTTTTTCAAGATTTTCACAAAATGCTACCAAACTGGCTTCGCGCGCGCATGTCGAAATCTGTCGAACGCCCTTGCGCGTGTGCCGTCGCGAGAATCCTCTGCAACAAATGGGACGAAGTGCAGACGCGCGCGTCGTTGCGCGTGAATGTCGAACTCCTTCAAAACCCATCGGTTTCGGCAGGATTTCAAAATCGTGTGTCCAAAAACCCAACAGAACACACGGTTTCGCAACACGGAATTTCAACAAAAGCGTGCGCGCGCGCTCTTGCGTCGTCGTCGTCGTCGTCGTCGCCGTCCTCCCTCCTCCCGCGTCGTCGTCGTCGTGGCTTACGTCGTCCTCTGTCTTTCCTCGTGTTCGTCGTCGTCGTCCTCTTTGGCGTCGTTGTCGTTTCCGTCGTCGTTGTCGCCGCTGTCGTCCTTCCTCCTCCTCCCTCGTCGTCGTCGTCGTCCGTCGTCGGCGTCTCGTCGTCGTCCCTCCTATTTCGTCGCCGTCGTCGTCGTCGTCGTTGTCGTTGTCGTCGTCGTCTTCCCTCCTCCCTCGTCGTTGTCGTCGGCGTCGCCGTTCTTCCTCCTTCGTCGTTCGCGTCGTCGCCGTCCTCCCTCCCCGGCAACTACCTTAGGAAAATCAATGTTTTTGGCCTCTTCTGGCCTTCCTGGAGGCCCTCTTGGGGGCCTCTTGGGCCGTCTTGGGCCAGCTTCGAGCCAACTTCGGCAATCTTGGTGGGTTCCTGGCACGTCTGACGCCGTCGGGAGCCGACTTGGTGGCCTTTCTAGGCCAACGGTGGACCCTCTTGGGGCGCTTCGGGGCCGTCTTGGAGGCCATCTTGGGCGTCTTGGAGGCCATCTTGGGCGTCTTGGAGGCCTCTTGGGCAGTCTTGGGACCCTCTTGGGGCCATCTTTGAGGCCACTGGGGCCGTCATGGGGCCCTCTTGGGCGATCTTGGGGGCCTCTTGGGCCGTCTTGAGCCGTCGGAATACCAAGGGAAAATCCATGATTTGGCATCTTCGGGCCCTCCTGGAGGACATCTTGGAGGCCTCTTGGGCCGTCTGGGAGGCCTCTGGGGGGCCTCCTGGGCCGTCTTGGACTCTCTTGGGCCGTCTTGGAGGCCGTCTTGGACCATCTTGGGCGGACTTGGAGGCTATCTTGGGCCATCTTCGCGATGTGTTGAGGATGTCCCGAGCGAAACGGCCGTTTCAGGGAGGATTGTTGGTAGAGTTTGTGCTCCTGGGCATGCCTCCCGGTACCCCGGCGGGACGGGCCGAAACCCATTGGGAGAGTTCGTTTGGAAAAAGAGCAAAAACCCAAACCGAGAGGTCCAGCACGCCAGGCACCCCTGCGATGAATCGACAGGGGGCGGCGGATCGAAGACGCCTACGGGCGAATCACCGCCGCCCCTTGCCTTTTTGGAAGCGCCTATGTGGCCGAAGGTTATGGCCAGAGGCCTGGCAAGCTATCGGACCATGTGTTCCCCGAATCGGTTTGGAAAGCCTTCGGGGAACACGTGGGCATCTTGAAGGTCATCTTGGCCGTCTGGAGGCCAGAATGACCCTTTCGGGCCTTCTTGGAGGACGTCTTGGAGGGCTCTTGGGCCGTCTTGGAGGCTACCTTGAGCGTCTTGGAGACCTCTTGGGCCGTCTTGGGGGCCTCTTGGGGCCGTGTCTTGGGCATCTTGGGCGATCTTTGTGGGCACTTGGGCCGTCTCGGGCCGTCGGAAGGCAGAAAACAAGCAAATGCCACAATCCTTCAAAAACCAATGGCAAATCAATGATATTGGCATTTTCGGGCCTTGCTGGAGGCCCTCTTGGAGGCCTCTTGGGCCGTCTTGGGCCATCTTAGAGCCATGTTCGGCCGTCTTGGTGGGCTCCTGGTCCGTCTGACGCCGTCGGAAGCCTTTTGGGGGGCCTCTATGGGCCGTCTTGGGGCCCTCTTGGAATGCTCCAGGGACGTCTTGGAGGCCATCTTGGGCGTCTTAAAGGCCTCCTGTGCCATCTTGGGGGCCTCTTGGGGCCGTCTTGGGGCCCTCTTGGGCCGTTCTGGGGCAATCTTGGAGGCCTCTTGGGCGATCTTTCGGCGACCGTTGGGGGCTCTTGGGCCGTCTCGGGCCGTCGGAAGGCCGAAAAGAACAAACTATCAAAATCCGGCAACTACCTTAGGAAAATCAATGTTTTTGGCATCTTCTGGCCTTCCTGGAGGCCTTCTTGGGGGCCTGTTGGGCAGTCTTGGGCCAGCTGTGAGCCAACTTCGGCCATCTTGGTGGGTTCCTGGCACGTCTGACGCCGTCGGGAGCCGTCTTGGGAGCCTTTCGGGGCCAACGGGGGAACCTCTTGGGGCGCTTCGGGGCCGCCTTGGAG